ATTGAGATAAATACTGTTCAATAACACTTTTTAGGCTCTACATAATCTTTTAAATGTGAAAAAATTTATCTGTGTGAAGCCTGTTTGAGACCAAAAAGACCAGTGTCTCCTGCACCCAGCGATCTTTCCATGAAGAGTGACTGGTCCAAGGAGGACCCTTTAAACTTCAGAAAAGGAGAACCAGGGTAAAATATGTTGGTTAAGTTGAACATTTGAAATGGAATTAGAGACAGTGAATACATAATTAATCTGAAGAGAATCACTTTGAAATATTGAGATAAATACTGTCAATAACACTTTTTGGCTCAACAATATTTTAAGATATGTTGCTTAAGTTTAATGTTTGAAACAGTAAGAAGAGACAGAGAAAAAGTCTCAATAGAATCACTTTAACATAACAAGATACATGTTGTAAATTCTGCTTTGGGACTCCAAAATAACATTAAAAAGGTTCACACTGTAAATGTGTTCTGTTTTAAAGCCTATTTGAGCCAGAAAGACCAGTCTCTCCTGCACCCACCAACATTGCAGGAGATAATCCTCTTGTCTTCATGTCTAAACAAAGATAGGGAAAACTGGTATTGATACTGCTTTAACTTAAAATGCAGGAACAATGGGAAAACATTGCAAATTAAAGCTTTGAAGCCTAAAGCATACATTTGACCTAAAACATAAAAAGTGTATATTCATATTTGTCTCAGTAAATGTATCTTTCCGTATTGACACAAAAATGTATCGCCTTTGCCCAGCAGCGCTTCCATGACAACAAGCAAGGATGAAGAAGAACGCAGAAAAGGTACTCAAACATGGAGCTACACAGTCAAAGAATCAAAACATTGCAAAAACAAACATATTTGTATTCACATGCCATTTGCCTCTTGGTTTAACTGCAAGTTAACAGAATACATAATTTGATAGAGTTTTATTAAAATTGTGTAAAACTATTTTGTAATTGACGTATATTTTCTTTATAATTTAATTAGAGAAGGATAAATACAAACTAAGAGAAGACCTAAAAAAGAGGATCGGCAAGCTGCATGAAAAGGAACTGAAAGTAACTGACACTGAACTCTACGAGATACCAGCTGAGAAAGACAAGGACCCTAAAGCACAAACCTTTTCTACATTATTTCAAAAATCAAAGAAAGAGAAAGTGCGAACAGTGCTAATGATGGGAGTAGCTGGAATTGGTAAAACATTTCAAAAAGAGTTATTCATGGTAGACTGGGCAAAAGGAAGATCTAACAAAAAGATAGACTTTATAGTGTCGTTAAACTTCAGTAAGCTGAATTCAATGAGCGCTCAAAGCCTGAACAAACTGATTGGTCATTCCCTCAAGGTTGAAGAACATGGAGATTACAAGTTTGACGAATGTAAACTTGTTTTTGTCCTTGATGGCCTGGAAAAATGTGAACTTCCTCTGGATTTTGCAAAGAACAAGGACCTGAAGAATATTGAAGAGCAAGCCTCGATGGATTCGCTGCTAACAAACCTCATCAAGGGGACTTTGCTTCCCTCTGCTCATCTTTGGATCCTCTCTCAACCTTCAGGAGTTGAGAAGATTCTTCCTGAATACATCCAGCGAGTGACAGAATGTCGAGGTATAAAACTATATCAGTTTTAATAGTTCATACTCCATATTGTGTGATCTGCTGTTTTATCCTTTATCAATAACATTGTTTTTTTTATTATTCAGAAAACTTGAAGCGACGGCAGAATCTGGCCTCAGCTCTGAGAGGAAGATTGCTTGAGGAAGCGTCTCCATATGAACATGTTAATACTCCTAACCAGAAAAACACTGAACACATCATAAGAGAGGTCAATGGAGAATCTGTGAAACGGGTGAATGCCGTATCTGACATCTTTAAAGAAGAAGATGGAAAAACGATCCGTACTGTGCTGACTACTGGAGAAAGTGAAATTGGAAAATCCTTATGTGTGCAGAAATTCATCAGAGAGTGGGCTAAAAAGGACAGCAGCTATTTTACTTGGTTTAAGGCTTTATTGGCCAAAGCCCAAGCTAAAGAAGTAGAAGTTATATTTCCACTTAACATCTCAAAGCTTCAAACGATAAGAAATAATGAAACCAGTTTGGTGGAACTTCTTTATGAATTCGTCAAGGAAACAAAGGAAAATGTCATCTCTAACATTGAGCAGTTTAAAGTTTTATTTGTCTTGGATGGATTTGATGCTTACCAACCTCCTCTTGACTTTGACAACAAAGACAAAGTAACTGATGTCAGAGGGCGCGCTTCAGTGGATGTTCTACTGACAAACCTCATCAAAGGAAACTTGTTTCCCTCTGCCCGACTTTGGATAACCTCCCGACTCAAGTTGCCTGATGCATGTGTCCACAGGACGACAGAAATACGATGTAAGCTAAAGGGTGTGGAGGAATTCTACCAAAGGAACTGTATAAAACATGGTTAAAGTACATAGTGACAGTGGTCCTAAGTGACACAAATGGGTACCACTTTACAATAAGACTACCCTTATAAAGGATTCATTAAAGGGTTTATAATTAGGTTATTAATTAGGTTGTAAACACTTTATTAATCATTAAGAACCATTTATAAACCAGTTCTAACATACATCAACACAGGCTCACTATTTGGCAAGATGACTAAGCCTTATATTGGCTACTTAGCGAGAATCAACTCATCTTCTTCATCAGCCAGCATCCTTGGTATCTGTTGTTCACTGAGTTGATTCTCCCCTTCCATCTTGATGTTTTTTGGCATCTCTTATGACCATTTATTTACGAGTTACTAACATTTATAGCCGCCAAAAGGGAGCCTTGTAAAGTGTAAAACAAATCACCATTTATGAATGAGTTACTACCATTTATAATAAGGGCTCACTATTTGGCAAGCAACCGGTCACAGTTGCCCTGTTTATCTCGTGTCTTATAAAAGCTTATTAATGATTTATAAAGTGTTCACAACGTAATTAATAAATGAATTACAAACTATTTGTAAACCCTTTATAAGGGTAGTCTTATTGTAAAGTGGTACCGTTATATGTTTAGCACGTATTCGGTAAGAATTTCCATAAGTAAGCACCAAAAGATTTAGATGATAAAAAAGAGACAGGATAGTATTTTATATAGAAAATAAGTAAAGCAAAGAAAAATGAATAAATAAGATTTATAAGAATACAATTAATGTAATCTAAGGATAGTTATCAATCTTTTTTACAATTTCAAAAGAAGCAGAGGAACACAATGCCGTCTTTGTGCTTCAATGTGGAAGCCTTCACCTGCTAAATTAATTTTGGAGGAATGTTATGAAAGGAAACTGTATAAAACACGGTTAAAGTACATAGTGACAGTGGACCTAAGTGACACAAATGCTTAAAACCACCATGAAATGAAAATATCAGAGTGTTTAGTAGTCAGCATCTAGTGAGTCAGATACTTATTTACAGAAATGTTGCTATTGAAATGTAGAAACACTTTTCTAGTTGAGGTCCAAGTACAAAGATACAAAGTATTTCAGCTTAAATTACTGGGAGAATGCTGCTCCTGAAGTTGATGTAACACGATCCACTAGAGAGAAAACTAATCGCATAATCCATAAGAACTACCATTAGTTAGGAAATTCTGCCGCCATTTGTTATTTGAGTCAAAAAGATGGCCTGCTCTAACAACAAATTAAAAGCTGCTATCTGAATGCTACTCTTTGCTAATAGAAAGAGAGGGACAAGTTTAGCCAATATGTGTATTTTTCTGACCTCGCTGTCAGAACTCAGAGATACTTTCACCAGTAACCCTAACCCTTATAATGTTTTACTTGCTTATGCAGCAAAAATGATGGCACCGTAGGGTACCCTAAATGAGGTCGGCATCCAACGGTAGAGTCAAGTAAAGAAAGGATATACCAATTTCTGCTTTATTATAGCCAATAACAATCCAATAAAATGCTTTCAATCAGCCTCGATTCTGATCCTGAGGATCAGCCTGGAATTTTATGTATGGTATAAACTGTCTAATTTCTGTCCTCACTAACTTAAAACAATACTCTTCTGCAGGTAAGCCTGATGCTGCATCTCACCAGACACTCAAAACCCAGCTGAAGGAACAATTTACCCATGTGAGTGAGGGGATTGATAAGCAGAAAACCTCTGCTCTTCTTAATTCCATCTACACAGATCTCTACATCATCGAGGGAGAGAGGGGAGAGATACATTCTCAGCATGAGGTCAAACAAGTTCAAGACGCAAAGTTCAAACAAGTGACACAAGAAACATCGATTAAATATCATGACATTCTAAAATCTGCACCTGGTGAAAATAGACCCATTAGAACTGTGCTGACGCTAGGATTGGCAGGCATTGGAAAGACGTTTGCTACAAAGAAGTTCATGTTGGACTGGGCTGAGGGTAAGGCCAATGGGGAAATATTTTTTATATTTCCACTTTCTTTCCGGGAGCTGAATTTGAGAGAAAAGGAACACACCTTGGAGGAACTCATTTTTCAGTTTTGTCCAGGAATGAAGACATCAGAAATAAAAGACTATGACAAGTACAGCATTCTGATTGTACTGGATGGTCTTGATGAATGTCGCCTTGAACTTGACTTCAAGAATGCTGTATCTTGCACAGAGGTGAGTAAGCGAACCTCAGTGAGTGTCCTACTAACAAACCTCATCCAAGGAAATCTGCTGTCCAAAGCTCAAATCTGGATCACCTCCCGACCTGCAGCTGCCAATCATATCCCTGCTGATAAAGTTGACCGGGTAACAGAGGTGCGAGGATTTAATGATGAGCAAAAGGAGGAGTACTTCAGAAAAAGATTCAGTGATAGAGATTTGGCAGAGAAAATCTTGTTGCATGTCAAGAAATCAAGGAGCCTTTACATCATGTGTCACATTCCTGTCTTCTGTTGGATCACAGCAAGCGTTCTGGAAGACGTTGTGAGAGAAACTGAAAAAGAAGGAGAGAGAGCAAAGACAAACGAAGACAGGATGCCCAAGACTTTAACTGATATGTACATATACTTCCTCCTGTTACAATGCAAACAGGCTAATGTCAAGTACGCTTCAGATGAAGCAGGTGACAATTCTAAAACAGATTCATGCTGGAATGCAAGGAACAAGGAAACAATCATTTCTCTGGGTAAAGTGGCTTTTGAGGGTCTAAGGGAAGGGAACCTTCTCTTCGATGAAGAAAAGTTGAAAGAGGATAAGGTTAACATCCAAAAAACTGCAGTCTTCTCTGGACTTTTTACTCAGATCTTTAAAGAACGATGTGGGCTGTATCCGCAGAAAATGTTCTGCTTTGTTCATCTGAGCATTCAAGAGTTCCTGGCTGCTTTGTATGTCTTTCAAACATTCAACAACACAGGTGAAAATCTGCTTTCCATGCCCAATCCAACAGATAAAGACATGCCTGAAGGATTCTACACGACAGCGATTGACAAAGCTTTAGATAGCAAAAATGGGGACTGGGATCTGTTTCTCCGCTTCCTCTTGGGGCTCTCTCTGGAAACGAATCAGAGTCTAGTGCAAGAACTTCTGAGGGAGACAGAAAACAATGTAGAGACTAACAAGAAAACAATTGGGTACATCAAAGAAAAGATTAAAGATGAGAAGACTCATGCAGATAAAAAATGCAATCTTTTCTACTGTCTGAATGAGCTGAATGACCACTCTCTGGTTGAAGAAGTGAAAAAGTACCTCTGCTCAGAAAGTGTCACATTTGAAAATTTCACCACCTCCGAGTGGTCAGCTCTGACTTTTGTGCTGCTAACATCAGATGAGAGGCTTGATGTGTTTGATCTGAAGAAGTACCTAAAATCAGAGACTGTTCTTCTTGGAATGTTACCGGTTGTCAAAGTGTCCCAAACTGCTTTGTGAGTACTTTAAATGCTCTTACAACTATTTTGTTATCTTGCAATACACACAAAGCATATTTATTAAGTTTATTGCTGATGCCTTTTACTATGTCCTTGATGGTCCCATTTGGTCTAACAGTGGTCTATAACAAGTCCGGATTGGGCAGTTCAGAAAAACTCATTTATTTGTATAAAAATTCAAGCAGGTAGACACTAATTGGAACGACAGTCTCACATTTGACCTGCAATTATAGTGAGGTTGAGTGATTCTTTAACACTTTTAGTTTTTCAGAAAGAATCTGCATTTCCATACAAAAAACAAAAAACAGCAAGATTTATTAATGGACCCATGTTTTCACAGGCTGAGCTGGTGTACTCTCTCTGAGGAGTCCTGCAGAGGTCTGTCATCTTTAGTCCTCAGCTCCCCATCCAATAATCTTACAGAGCTCAACCTGAGTCATAACGACTTGCATGATTCAGGTGTGGAAATGCTTGCTGAGGGCCTAAAGAGTGTACACTGTAAACTGGAGATTCTCAAGTAAGTGGACAATGCATTTACTGTACGGGTGGTTGCTTTGTGTATGTTTAGTAACATTATTCCAAAAGAATGTCCATTGAGCAATGCAGCACATCTTTATTTAAAAAGGTACGTTTGTGTCTTCAGAGACCAGAATAAATGTACTTTACCAAATAATGATCGTTTTTTTAAACCTTGCTTCTGTGTAAGGCAGAATACACATAGTTAATGAAAGTATTAAAATGTAATATCAGACAGTTTTTTCAATGATTTATACATTGGCCTTGGAAATTAAATTTGGTTGGCTGCAGATTTCTATTAGATATGTAAAAAATACAGCATAATAGACACACTTTTGCTTCCCCATTAATGTTTCAGAACATTTCAAATCCAAAAAGAGAAAAATTATAAACACACAGAGAAACTTTAAAAAGCATTTCTTGAATGTGTGTGTGTCTGTTTGTTTGTGTGTGGCCTGCAGGCTGTCAGGTTGTCAGGTGACGGAGAAAGGCTGCTCATTCCTGGCGTCAGCTCTCAAATCCAAAAAACACTCCCTGAAACACCTGGACCTGAGTTACAATCACCCAGGAGACAATGGGAGGAGGCTGCTCTCTGAAATATATGAAGATCCAGATTCGAAGCTGAAGACACTCTGGTACGTAAAGAAGTCATGTACAATTAAGAAAGTAAACTTGTGATGTCATCAAGTATAAAGTCTATTGGTGCTCCATGGACGATGAATGTAAGAGTGATTTTGTGGACCGAAATGTGGGGATTATGGGACAAGCCTTTTTTGCTGTTTCATTAATTATGTCCATATGCATTTTCCTACATCTTTTGATATTGAGCAATGTACGCAAACACAAGATCAATATATTGAATAAAAGGCTATATTGTCTTGTGATGCCTTGCTACAGGGGGCTAAAACATGTGCAATAAACAAGAACGCTTTTCAAAGTATTGAATTGAATTTCTGTATATATCAACCCTGTCTTTGTTTTGTGCAGTTTGGATCACTGTGGAGCGCATCGTATAAAGCCAGGGCTGAAGAAGTGTAAGTCTTTATTATTGTTGTATTCCTTATTATTATGTAAGATGTTATCACTTCAGTATAGTGTTAGACAAGGATTAAGTGGAAGTAAATTCCTGATACGTTTCAAATTAATCTCTGATAATATGCCTTTGTCACCTAATTTAACATGTAATATAGGTTTCGATAATGTACATACTTCTTTTTAGATATGACATCCATTATATACTAAATAGATTTGTATTTGTATTTGATCTAAACAACATAAGATACAGCTCTTATAAAACTAAATTATGAGTCTGTTTCTATTTCAGATGGTGCTGATCTAAAGCTTGATGAAAACACAGCAAGCAAGAGGCTTATATTGTCTGAGGAGAACAGAAAAGTAAAAACTGTGCGGACGGTGAAGGAAAAGGTGGAGCGACCTGAACACAAGGGCAGGTTTATGAGGAGCCAGGTGATTTGTGGGGAGGGCATGCAAGGCCTCTGCTACTGGGAGGTGGAGTGGGAAGGGAGGGTTGGCATCGCAGTGACATATGAAGCAGTGGGAAGAGGATGGGATAGAAGTGGTGGCCTAGGATGCAACGAGATGTCCTGGAGTCTGCTCTGCTCCAGGACTCAGTACCATTCCATACATGGAAAAACATGGAAACTTATTGAGCCCAACAATGAGAAGACATCCAAAGATATTACGTCCAAAGACGGGAAGACTTCCAAAGATAGGAAAACGTCCAAAGATGGAAATACATCCAAATATGGGAAGACGTCCACAGACTTTAAGTTCAAGGAGGGAAAGACAACTAAGGATTGGAATATTTCCAAAGACGGGAATACATTCAAAAATATTAAGTCCAAAAATGGAAAGACATCCTCAGATGGGAAGATGTCCAAAGACCTTGAGTCAAAAGATGAGAAAACATCCAAATATACTAAGTTCAAAGATGAGAAGACATCAAAAGATACTGAGTCCAAAGATGTGAAGATGTCCAAAGACATTGAGTCAAAGAATCAAAAGACATCCAAAGATACTGAGGCAAAAGATGAGAAGACATCAAAAGATACTGAGTCCAAAGATGCAAAGATGTCCAAAGACATTGCGTCAAAAGATGAGAAGACATCAAAAGATACTGAGTTCAAAGATGGGAAGACATCAAAAGATACTGAGTCCAAAGATGCAAAGATGTCCAAAGACATTGCGTCAAAAGATGAGAAGACATCAAAAGATACTGAGTTCAAAGATGGGAAGACATCAAAAGATAGGAAAACGACAAAAGATGGAAATACATTAAAAGACTTTAAGTTCAAAGGTGGAAAGACGACTGAGGGCGGGAAAACTTCCAAGGATGGGAATACATTAAAAAATGGGAAGACATCCTCAGATGGGAAGACGTCCAAAGCTGAGAAGACATCCAAAGACTTTGAGTCAAAAGATGAGAAGACATCCAGAGATCCTGAGTTCAAAGATGGGAAGATGTCCAAAGACTTGAAGTTCAAAGGTGGAAAGACGACTAAGGATGGGAAAACTTCCAAGGATGGGAATACATTCAAAAATGGGAAGACATCCAAAGAACTTGAGTCAAAAGATGGGAAGATGTCCAAAGACATTGAGTCCAAAGACGAGAAGACATCAAAAGATACTGAGCCCAAAGATGGGACAATGTCCAAATTGCCTCTTTATAAAAGAATAGCAGTATTTTTGGATTGGGAAGCTGGCACTCTGACCTATTACGGTGTCACACAAGAAAAGCTGAGCCTTATACACACCTTCCATGCCAGATTCACTGAGCCCCTCTTCCCATGCTTCTGGTTTCAGAAGGGCTCTGTGACCTTGTGTAAAATAGACTGAACTCCCTGAGATAGGGGAAGTCTTCCATTGAGGCTCCATTTGACTTCAATGGAATAGCAAAACCTTGCCTGCATCGTATCAATACCATGATGTAAAAGACTGAAAGACACTATATTAACATAGTTCCTCTTGCCGGAAGATGTTTGATCAATTACTGTTTACTTAAAGTGGACCTATCATCCTGTATTTCAATAATATAGTGTAGGACCATACCTATATAAGGCATATTTATACTTTTTATTTTTCAAAATACCAAACAGATCATGCATTTTAGCCATTACTAATTTCGCTCAATTTAACACTGTCTTTTCATGGGCTGATTCTGTGAGAACAGCACCATCTACAGGCCTGGCATATGTACTACAGCGTCTCCAGCGCTTTCGAACTGGCAATGTCCGTGGCTGTCTCCTCCTGATTGGTGGAGTTGGCCCAATAGCCGTAGTGCCACTTCTGTGACGTCATAGAACTGTTCAAATCTGGATCAGTCTGTATCAGATCCGTTGAAGCCCCTTTTTAAGAGATTTGGGTATGGAGGAAAAGAGAGGGTTGTATTTTCTGGCACTTGGTGAGTTCCCTGGAACACCGGGGACACATATTCATGTATAAAAGACGTACAAAAGTGCATTTTGCATGATACGTCACCTTTAAATAATTTTCTTACCTATAGCCTGAATTGATGAAAGTATGTTGCAGTTCCTTAAACTACTGTAGTAAGAGTATGCGAACAGATGATCCATATATATGAGTAAGCCGAATTGTGTCAACTTTCCAATTAAATTACAAGGAAATATTCAGTTTTTGCAATTCAAAGAATTTCATGTAAGTAAATGTGAGATGTACTGTCATAAAAATGAAAAGTGTTATAGAATAACTGTATGCTAACTCTTGCAGCCGCTTATACAGAACAACTGATTTACCGCCATTATATTGATACATTTTGTTTTAAATGAATGTAATGTCATTGATGCTGTAGGGCATTCGCAAAAATAAAAAAATATATTTTAGTTTTATTAAACCGAAGTGTGTCTTTATATAAAACATATACGTATGCATACACACAATTGTACATCTTCGTTTGTAAATATAATATAATTGTATAATACTTGTATTGGTTTTATATTCTATCTTCTTCTATTTTGTTGTCCATTTAAATTGTGGTCATATCAAATTTCCTTCAGTGTCCTTCAGATGGCAATCTGTGTGTGAAGAGCAAACAACATTGTGCAGAATGTATTTTATAATAAAAAGATAAATAGATAGACAGTTAGATAGATTTTTTTATTCATCTCAAATTGGGAAATTCTTTGGTAACAGCAGCAATGTTATAAGGCATTAAAATGTTTAAAAGGTGAAATAAAGTATATACATAATAACTTAAAGATAAACAGCATATAACAATATATACATATCCACATTAGAAAATACATATATCACAAAGAATATACAGTATACATTTGAATGTTTTATAAAAGACAAATACACTACAGCATCAGAAATAGATATGTAGCAAAACATATAGACATGTATAGGTAGTGTGTACTGGAAATTATAGTTGTGCAAAGGAGCTTTTGTGCAAATTGTTCATGGTGTTGGAGAGGGACAAAGATCAACTTCATACCAGGAGGTCTTAATGCGTAGATTAAAATGTGTTTATCCTTCCTAAAACAATATTCACATATCCATATGTACACTGTAACAATGTTCAAGTCCTCCTCTTTACTCTGGTCATAAGAAGAGTCCTTACTAAAAAGCTTCCAACGTAAGCTGAGGCAAAATCCACAGTCCTTACATAGTGTAAATGTATGTTCTTAAATTCATCAGACAATTAGGTATTTTCCACTTTTTTTAACCTTCAGATACACTTTGAGGTATATTGCACAGATCTAGGATTTGGAGACCCCATGTCTTCATTTTGAAGGACGGCTTCTCCTGATGGCTGGTATGAATGGGAGGAATCACTGTGGCAAAACTGTTTTAACGTACATTTTGATAACTGGAATTGTTTAAAGAAAGATAGGAATAAAATAGAATCTGTGGAGTTATGCTTGGAGGGAGCAATATTGTATAAGGCGTCTGTCCTAAAGTTTGTAGCTGTTTTGGAAAGGCAAGTGAAGTTTAGCCATCACACAGATGCAAAACAGAATGAGTCCTACCTTTATGTTTTATATTTTAAATAAATATGTTAATGAATTCCTAGATTTTTGGACAGACTTTCTGGAAGACATTCATAGTGTTACACTTTCTGAACATATGGTCAATAGCTGCGTCTTTCTGCCACATATCAATTGTTCCCCCTTAGTGTCAAGTTGTCTTCTCCAGGTTATCCTTCCCTCCAAACCGGGTAGGCTCTCACTCTGTTATTTGGTCCCCTGATCTCTCTTCCTTATATAAAACACTTTACTTCATCTGGATCAATATTAAGAAGTGACGTGCATTTTGTGGAAAGTGTTACCTAGGAGAGAAGGAACCCTTGTCAACGGAGAGAAATACATGGCTGCAGCGTTCATCTACATGCAGGATGTGATGTTAAAACCATGGCACATTGAGACAGAAAAATATGAGCACTGGGATTGAGCCTGGTGGGATAAATGATTCCCATTTATGTTCTTTAAAAATGTTGTTTTTCACAATCTTTTTTATTTTTTAGTTTATTGTAAATTTGTAAGGGACAAGCACAGAGAAACATTGCCAGTTACAGCAGCAGTGTCAGTGTGCTGGACACGTGTTTATTGCGAAAGCTGCCTTCTACTTAATTATTCTACCTTCATCTGTGGTACTCTAAAAGCAGTGACAAAATACATTTGATTCCAATGTCCACTGTATGTGCAGTCTGGCATGTTTGAGCAAGTCTGTGTACATGTGTAATTTTAGGCGGTAATGAAATACACCTGTAAAGGACAGGCCAAAATGAAGCCGGAGGATGTGACAAACTGAGAAATGAAAAGGATGGGACATTGTAGCAACCAGCGCACTAAAGGCCTCTTTGCACAAGCTGCCTCTCTGTTTTTTGTCAATCCAATTCATGACCAAATCTTTGAAGAGGCAGCACAACTCACAATTCAACATTTTGTTCCGGGTCCACATCATAAACCTGTTTAATTCATTCAGGATCTTTCCTGTTTCAGCATATTTCACTTTGTAACCATTGAGCTGCTGCCGCTAATTGATGACACATTCAGAGCGCCTCTTGCTCTGCCTCTGTCTCTGACGATTTGTTTTGATTCCAGAGCTGCCTGTGAAAGCCATGAGCTGGATGAATGAGTGTTTGTGTGGATTTACAGAGTGGAGACAAAGCACTGTGTGTGTGTGTGTGTGTATGTGTGTACGTGTGTATGTGTGTGTGTGTGTGTGTGTGTGTGTGTGTGTGTGTGTGTGTGTGTGTGTGTGTGTGTGTGTGTGTGTGTGTGTGTGTGTGTGTCACAGTGTCAGTCCTTTAGAAATAAATAAAAAGGTTTCCTCACCCCATCTGCTTATTAGTTAGTTCCTGGTTTTATTTATAATGTAAACCACACTGTTGTCTAAAAGAGCCTTTAATCGTTATTAATGTTGAATTGCCCAAGCAGGCATGCACTCACAGATCTCCAGGGTTTCTTACTTTTGCTTGCAATGACTTGGAAGGTTAGTGGTTTTCATAAGTCTGAGATTCTGCCCTCAAAGTGCTCAATGGTGTTCTTACCCCAATACAAGTAGAATTTTTTCATTAAATTAAATAAAACATCATAGATGTGGGGGCAACAGGACTTGATCCCAAACAGACTGTAAAGAAATGGGACTGAAATGGAAGCCGGTCCAGATGTAGCCTTATTTTTCCGTATCCAGCTCTGAAAGAGGAAAACCTCATGAAAAACCCAATGCCTCTTATTAACTTATTTCATGTAATAATAATAATAATTATTATTATTATTATTATAACTTATTTCATGTCTCATATAACTGCACATTTTTTTCTTTGTTGACATGGAAAATAAAAGGCCTCCTATTTCCTAAAAGCAAGTCGAATCGTTAATGAACAATAACCAATTACATGTGCTCCTCTCTTCTCTTTGATAATATTAGACATACTGTAGGACACATTGTGAATTGGATTGTTGAGCAACAGGACTGCCTTACACAATACCAATTTTTCAGGTTCTGTCAGAAGTATTATATAGAAGGACGTCAAATTAAAACAAACCCCCATCAGTTAAAGTCCTGCAGAGTAGAAGATTGAAGAAGTTTGCATTTTTTTTACATACTTCTTTGAATTCAGCATCATATTTAAGAAAGTTCAAGTTCATGGGATCTTTAACCATCTAGGACTGTGTGCTAATCTTTACCCTAACTTCAAAATAAAACCATCATCTCTAAAACTGAGATGAACCTTTGTGCTAAAAAACAAGTATCATCCCTCAAAAAGCCATTTATAGAAGGAAATACGCCCCAGAATGTTTCTCACGTTTCCCATGTTTTCACTCTTGGCCCTTAAAGAAAGAAGTGCAAGGGCACTACACACATAGAGAGACACACAAAACCAACTCAAAGCTGACCATAGAGCAGTGATTTACAATTTGACTTTCTCTACTTTACACAAAAACAAATATTTAAACTTGAAAGTCTCTCTAAATATGAACAAAAACATTAATTCAGAGCAGTGATTTGTGACTCTACTGTCTCTTTGTACCAGGCTGTTTGGTTCCCCGACGTAAACCCCATTCACAGGCAGGGTCAACTATGTGAGGTGCGTTTGATTTACATCGCCAGGAACATACTCTAACAGTTCAAGCTGTGATGGTGCTGTGATTTAGTAAACCGCAGTTCAGACTCAACTGTTGCAACTCAAGCATTAAAAAAATGTCAACTCTGACATTGGGGGGAATGAATGAAAATGAGGGCTTTCAGCACCCTTCACTCCCACCACATCATGAGTGTGCCCGGCAGCCTGGACAGACAAAGTGAATTAGACTCTGATCGCTCTGGTATCACATATTTGTGAAACAACGTGTGTGTAGCTCTAGGGTCCAAAGTGTTATGACATTCAATACTTTGGCCAACAGAAGTAACGTATTGTGTCTGTGTGAGGTGTACTGACAGTTTGTAGTTGTGTTACTGTGTGTGTGTATTAGCTGTCATTTGATCCATCCTCAGGTCGCTCGGCTCCCACCCTGCGCGTCCACTCTGCTTCTCACAGACCAATCACATTGAACATTCCTTCACCTTCCCAGGATCCCCGGGACCCAGGGTGCACGA